GAGGTAATAACGCCAGCATTTGCTTTGTGGTTTTACATTTTGCCTTAATTTATGTTCTGTGCATTCTTCTGTAAGCCTGTTATGCTGCAATAAAACAAAAGTTAAGAAAAAAATACCTAAAGGATCTGTAGCTACTAAAGGATGTACAACATTTATAGGTGTTTTCCTGAGAAAACACCACCTGTTTTATAAAACTGAAAAAAGTCTTACTTGTTTTCATATACTACTATTACATTAGATGTGGGTTTTTCCAGATGATTAGAAAATTTCCCTTTGTAAAGTTTAATTTTTTTTTTTTTTTGGACATGCACTCATAATCTATGTTAACTTTCTGATCCTTTAATTTACTGCTTTGGTAGCAATTTATGAATCGCAATTATGCTTTTAACTTGAATTTTGTTTTAGTTTTTTTTAAACACGTGGTATCTTCTGTGAAATCGAAGAGCTCATGATTTCCTATCAGGTAACAGGCAAACTCTTTGGGAAAGTTTGACTCCTTCCCATTTTAGGTTTGTTTTTGCAGCAATTTAGTTACTGACACCGGTTTTCTTGTTTGGTACTCGTAATAGTTCTGTCTGTCACATTGAGGATATGAGGTGGATCAGTGTCTTATCATCATTGAAATTTTCAGTAAGAATCATGTCTGCTAATCTTGGTTCCTAGTAAGTGACTAAAAATCCTCCTCTCTAAATAAAATTGTTTTGGTGAGTAAAATATTCACTATTATATAGTTTTGTTCAAATAGGAAACTGTATTCACACACTTGGTCATATTATTTCTCTTTCTAGAGAAAATCTCTTCATGAAAACAAACTGAAGAGAATGCAGGAGAAAGTAGAAGTCTTGGAGGCAAAGAGAGAAGAATTGGAAACAGAAAATCAGGTGTTAAATAGGTAATGTGTTTGTGTGTATATATACCCCACGTGGTTATTTTGATATTTTAGAATTTGATTTCTGGGCATAATGCACTGTTTTCTTTTAAAATATACATTTAAAAGAATTCTAAAACTGTTCATTATACTCCTAATTTATTATTCTGTTTTTCTTTTCCCTGGACTGAATGTTCCTTTAAACCAAAAGGTATCTAACACTTGCCAGTGTTGCGTCATAGTTGGGACTGGTAGGAAAGGTTGGTCACTGGCCTTGGTAGCCAGGGGTGGTGTGTTCTTGCTGTTTGGACAATTGTAGTGATTGCATAGTACTAAAATTGTTGCTACAACTTTGAATCAAAGATCAGGTTTTGATTTGGTATGGTAAAATATTACTGGGCTGTAACTTGTGGTTTTTCATTTACATCGAAGCACAGCTAGTAATCTGCATCATTAGCATTTTTGAGCAGAGATTTACCATATTAAGTAAGTGGTAGTGGCCTTATATGACCCATTTGATTCAAGTTAATAAAAAAACCTGCAAATTCAGCTAATTAGTGGTAGCCTTCCGCATTGAGACAGCATCAGACTTTTCTGTAATGGAAATTGCCTATAATATCAAGCAGTGATGTTTTATAATGTCCCCTCGTCTTCTTGCATATAATTACCAAAATGTGAACCGTTGTTTTATAACAACCAAGAGGTTTCTAGACCGTGGAATTGAATGCCAACTTTATAATACTCTGTTCCAAAGTAAGATACCACCAAATTCATTCTAAAACAAAATTCAACTTACCTCTTTCCTAACTGTTAACTTTAAAATATTATCAATTCAAAACTGGGCAGCTGTGGCACAGATCATCCAGAACCCTGAGTGGTTTTGAAACTCTATTTGATTACTGATGTGATTGATGTCAGAAAATTCATGTCCAAAAAGATGATTTGTCAAGGCCTGAAAAGTTAGCTTTTTATCCACGTCATTTTCCCCCTAGAGTTGGAGCTGCACTTTTGTCACTAGCTATATTTTTAAAAATTAGGTTGAACAATGTGAAATTCCCTATACTTGACCATAGTTCCCCTAAAAAATGGCAATTTCGTAAGATTTGACCTCATGTTTTTGTATTGCTGTTTGATTCCTTCTGCATCCTTTGTGTTTGTTGCCTACTTTTAGTTTCAGAATTCATGAGTTGGAGGAGTGGAGTGGAAATGAAAATAAGAATACCAAAAGATGTTTTATTAATTGCAAATAAAACTTTAAAATAAGTTGATAGCCTGCAATGTAGGGTAACAATAATACATATAATTAAGATGTCATTTCCTATTTCTGTTTATCTTTCTCGATAAACAGATATTTATGTATATTATATTCAGTTAAACCTTATAATTTAGAAATCCTCTTCCTATTCAAACTTCTGCGAACCATACTGTTTGTCAATAGAATGCAACTGTATTAAAGCACAGAAACACTTTTTTTCTTTTCAAGACAAAATGTTCCATTTGAAGAATATACAAGGCTTCAGAAAAGACTGAAGGATATACAGAGAAGACATAATGAATTTCGAAGTTTAATTTTGCTTCCTAACATGCCTCCAACAGCACCCGTCAATCCTGCCAGCTTTCAGCCATCAACCATGGTTCCCGGCATGGAACTGGCCTTTCCTCCTCATATGCAGGTAAGAACATTTATTTTCGGGGAAGTTAGGCCTACATTTCTGTAAGATTTTTACCTGTTTAAGTACAGAGTTAAAGACTCAAATCTTTAACAGAAATTTGCTGAGAAGCAAAGTGCATATCACTCTATTCTATCCGCTAGTGATGGTGCTGGAGTAAAATCTCCCGTTAAGCAGTTTCAGAGGAGCTGGCCTGGTCGGGTGGCTCAGTTGGTTGCAGCGTTGACCTGTGCACCAGGAGGTTTCGGGTTCGATTTCTGGTCAGGGCACATACCTAGGTTTCAGGTTTGATCCTGGATCGGGGTGGGTATGGGAGGCAACTGATCGATGTTTCTCACTCCCATCTCTCTCTCCCCCTTTCCCCCCCATTCCCTTCCTCTCTTTCTAAAATCAGTAACATATCCTCTGGTGAGGATAAAAGAAGGAACTTGACTGGTGAGTGTTCGAGTAATCCAGAGTGTGTAGCTCACTCGTATAGTGCTGACTACTAGTGAGCATTTACTAATGTTGTACCGCACTCTGTGTTTTCTGTACAATATTTTATTTAATTCTAATGAAAAATGCTTTGAGGAAAGGTATTATTGTTCTCAATTTACAGATGAGAAACCTGGGAGAGAGGTGAAATGACTTCCCTAAGGTTATAGCTAATAATTGACAAACTTGAGTTTCAACATGTCTGTCTGATTCCATCACCTGGGCTAATTCTACTGTATTAGGTCCTTGAGATACTGAAGGAATCAAATTGGTTGGATGATTTCCAGAAGATGAACTATCACTAAGTAATTACATTTTATAATGCTGTAATATTTTAGTCACAGAATTGAATCTCAGACCGAGTGCTTTGTTTTTAATAAAATGCTAATAAACTTATCTTATTAGAAAGTTGTCAAATAAGTATGCAGGTCCTGCGTGAGTATTTGATTCACTCCCTGGTGGATTTTACACCTAGAGAAGGATCGATCTGGGCTTTGCTTTAAGGCTGGAGCTGGAGCAGGAGAGAAGCAAGGCAGTGAGTAGTCTGGCCCGTGCGGCACTGTTCTTTCCTTGCCAGGTGTGTAGGCCTGAATAAAAGAGGACTGAGGCTGCTGCCCAAGTTATTTTCCACCAGTTTTTCTAAGTCTCTCTTTCTGAGCCTTTTCTGCATTTTTTCTCTCTTTTTTTCTGTGCTTTTAAGGAGGAACAACATCAAAGGGAACTCTCTCTACTTCGTAAAAGACTAGAAGAACTAGAAACAACACAAAGAAGACAACTAGAGGAACTTGGTTCGCCTGGGGAATGATGTTTTTGGAGAAAAGGGATGAAATCAGTGACTCAATAAAGCTTGAAGTTTTAACATATGTGGCATTTAGATGCTTTATTACTGTTTGCCAAAACCCTTGAATTTGCCTCAAGAAAAGGTACCAGCTGCATGCTGTATTGTATGCAAGTCAGGATTTTAGGATTATACCAATGATGAAGCATTAAAATAGCTTCAGAGATATTTAGAGTATTTATTGACAACCCTTTGAGAATGTTATAAATAAAAGGAACTAATTTAGTTGGGGGATCAAATTTTAAAATTAATTTTATTTTGTTCAATTTTGAGAGCATTTTGCCTGAAATATGCACATGTTAAATTTCTTCTTCCTCGACTTTAGATGCTTGGCAATAACGGGGTCAATAGACCATTTTCTGGTTTAGTATATACAAGAGTTACAAACTTCTAGTTCTTGAAAATAGATGACAATTTAAAAGTCAGCATAAAAAATAAAACTTAAAGATATCTATATAACACTACCTTTTCTAAAACCTGTGTTCACATAATTTATTAAAGAGCTTAACTATTTTTCTATCTAGCTATATTGTCTTGTGTTTGATTTTTTTCAACCTTACAGTGTGTATTTAGCAATGTAGAAGATCTTACTGATTTCCACTTTTGAATTAGAAAATAACAAAGAACAAATAATTAAATCCTGTGGCTTTATAAAAACAAGAGCCATTCATTGTAAAACCTGAACCCAGTGGGGTCTCTTTAAAAGAAGTACCATTGGTATTTAACTTTGCCTCCCACTGCTTTGGATTTAACCAAATTACTATAAATGTTTTATTTCTGTGTATCCCTAAGTGTGCCATCATTTGCTTTTTTATGTAACATCGTGTTTTAAAGGAATTCTGCTGGAATAACTTCATATCAACAAGGCAAAGCTCAAGTCTGCCAAACCAAGTGAAAAGTCCATTATCCAGGAGGCTTCGCGATCAAGAGTCTAAATTGATATTGGAGGCTAGCAATGTAATTGAGCTGCCCTTAGCATCATTTAGAAGAAATGAGATTTACTTACTATATAATACAGCTGCTTATTCACAGAGTGCACAGTGACATCTTGTTTCTGAAGAATAAGTAATTTCCCTGAAGCTACTTTGAATGAAAAAAAATCTATTATAACTAGAAGACTTGAAGGAAAAAAAGACAAGAACAGTCCATATTTACATCAAAATGTTTATTTTTGGATATAGACATTTAAAACATTCATCTCCAAGAACAGCTTCAGTCAGGTATACAAGAAATAGACTTTAAATCCCTAATACGGAAAAGGTAACAGAATTAAACTTTAAATGCTGCTGTAGACACTAGTGTTAGGAAAAAAAAAATTATAAATGGTTTTGCACCAAAAAATAGGCAAAGAAACTTGAAAATATAAATTGTTTGCTGTTTGTTTCTCTTGCTGTTTAATATAGACCCAGTGACTGATTGTCTTCAGCACACATCTAATTTGGCCATTTACTGCGTTTGGCTGATGGGATCCAAAAATGTGATCTAGATAGTGCTTTTCACTGGAGGATTGACAAACACGCTACATACATTAGTGAATCTTCACACCACCTCAGTGAGGTAGGATTGAAATATACAGAAATTGAGGCACAAAGAGGTAAGTGACTTGCCCAAAGTTCCCAGCAGCACAGTCCCTGGAAGAGGAGGTGAATCTCCACACAGGACTCCTGTGCCAGAGAGCTGGACGGGGACATCCTTGTGTAGCTTTTACTAAGTAGTCAGATAAAGCTGGAGCTGTTCCTTTGAGTTTTCTTAGCATTTCTGTACCCTAAAGAAGGGGAAGGCTTTTGGGCAACTCTCCTACCATTGGCTCTCAACTCTCCTATTGTTCTCTGACGCACGCCTTCACATCAAGACTGTAGCAGCCTTAGATGGGGGCCAGACCTCTTACCTTTATTCTTGTAAGTAACCTATTTGGTAGTAGTTTTGAGGTGTGTCCATTGGACAGACAATGGTCAAAAGCGATGGGATTGGGAAGGTACCTATCAGGGCCATAACTGCTTATTTTCTCTGATCAGTTTGTTGAGGTATCACCTCTCTACCAGATATTGAGAAGCAAAATAAATTGCATTTATCTAAAACAAATTCACATTAATTCCTGATATCCCATACGGTGTTGGTAAATGATTTTAAGGAATGTGTGATCAATGTTTTATTTGCTACTTGAAAAAATTTCTTTCCTCAGTCTGGGATTTGGAGCACCAAGGGTAAAAGGTGCCACAAGGAAAGTTTGAGAGCTCCCAATTACACTTTTTACTTCTGATTTACTAGAAGGAAAACACAGTGGTATTAAAATTGGTCATGAGCAGCAAAAATTCAGGAATAAAAAATCAGCAATAAAACTACAGTGTAACTGGATAGGGAATTCTTTAAAAAGAAAGGCATGAATAAAATGAGCATTTTTAATTCTTTCTCTTGTGAGGAATACTTTCAAAAAGTACATAGACTAAGATACCAAGTTTTATACTAATATTTTCCAGGCCTTGGGCCTCAAATATATATATTCATATATAATACTCCAGTGTGAACAGCAATTTCATGAAATGTAAAATGTATCTTTTTTTTAATCACACACAAGTATTTATAACCACAGGGTTCACCAGAACTCTAAAGCAAGGAGACACTAGTACAGAAATGTAGGGTTAGGGGAGTGAGTTATTCTTCCACAGATCTGATCAAAGTTTTTAGAGATAAACTAATGTTTTTTCTTACACATCCAACATGCCCACTACCAAATACATTTAGTTTGGGAAAATAAAATGAAAGAAACACACCTTAAGACAAAGTATCTGGATAAAATGCTGTTGCCTATAAATAAAGCTTACTCATGCTCCTTGCTTTAGAGCTCCTTAGTGAAATGGAGGTGAGTTTGATGGAGTGCAGTTGGTGACCACTGAAAAACACAGCCCTTTCAACAATGTTGCAACACTGTTAGTTTTTGGTTTAAAACACACACACACACACTCACAAATGCTAAGTGTACACACTACCAAATTCTGCAACCAGCTTTTCCAAGAACTACTGAGGAAACTTTCAATGCTGCAGATCCTCAAGGTTGCCCTAACACCTCCACCTTGTTTCCAAATGACTCATTTCACATTTTGCTCTGATCACCGACAGTGTCCCTTTTCTGCAAAGGTGCAGTGTAGTCACATGTGCTACATAACTGTAGTTTTCAAACAAAACCACTTATATCATTGTGCTTAAGTGGAGACTGTAGTTACAATACTGACATTTGCTTACTGGCCCTGTATTCTCTGTAAACAAGGAGGCTGTTTGCAACAACCAGTTCAGCTCTATTTACAGAAGGGTTCCCACAGTATACACACAGGCACAGTAGTTGGTATGCTTTCTAAAAGCTGTGCATGTGCCTTGGTCTCTTAAAGACGGTGCTCAAAGTGGAACCTATGTGCAAACTTAAAAAATTAACGACACAGAGTAGCTCAAGCAGCCATTTTGCTCCCAAGTCGTCTGAAGAACTTTGCCAGGTTAAGCCAGGCCCCAGAGTGCTCACATCCACTTGCATTTCTTCTTTTCATCAAATAAGACTTTTACATGCAAGAGTTGTTTCTGAGCTTCTTCCAGCCCTCGTTCTCTTTCTAGTTTATTTAGAATCTGTTGACAATCAGAACAGTTATTTTAGATATTGTGGTTTTTAGCATTACAATTCTGTTTTTTTCTTTTGCATTCCTGATACTGTGAGTGGTAAAAGCTGTATGAAGCAGATGCCAACATTTTCAATCATTTACATACTCACTTTGCAAGTTGTTTTGCTAAGTCATTATCACAGGATCAACAATACTTTGGCTTAAAATAGAAACTCGCAATAAATACCAACTGTTTGCTTACAAATACGGGGCCAGACCTCCAAGGCCCTATTTTATGCATTATGTCACAGCCATTCCAAGCACAGCAAGCATTTCTGGGCAGCCAACATGCAGGCAAGTATTTCTTAAATGCAGCAGGCAGGGGCATCCTGGTCAGAGATGGATATTTCTCTTCCCTCCCCTCCCCTCCCATCCTGGGCAGTCTAGACCCTCCTCTTCCCTCCCTCCCCTCCCCTCCCCAGTGCTTCCCTTCTACCCCTGACCCCTGGAAAGAGGGATGCTTATCGTGTTTAAGGAACTCATTGCCTCTACCCTACCTTAGCTCTTCACTTGATCTTCAAGTAGCAAATGGAATTGGTGAGCTATTCTCACCATTGACATGGATAGCCTGTCCCAGCATGACTGAGTGGGGGGGAATCAGGGAAGGGGGAATTAACATATATTTGGAAACAACACATCTGATGACTGTCTGTCTGAATTCCCAAAGAAAAAAATCCAGATTAAGGAGAATTAATCATTGAGAATGGCTTATTGAAATAGTTTAAGTTAGAAAAATGTCATACTTTCATATAACTATTGAATACAGAATCTAGGTGATTTAACAAGCTCAGCTTTCATTTTAGCAGATTACAATCAAGCATAAGCTGGCCCCGTTTAATAGGACCACTACTTACTCATGAGAGTTAACTTGAGTCAGTGTGGCTGTCGGCCCCATGAACTCAAACGTAAATTCAGGCCGGTCCAAAGGTGAGCAGCATAAAACTAAGAGGGACAGCGGCATGTGCAGGGGCTGGCGTGGTGCCAGGACCCCCTCGGACGGGCTCCAGGCCTCCCGCTTCTGGCCAGGTGGGATGCCAGAGCCATCCTGAGACCTAGCGAATGCTTCAGAACCAAGTCCTGGTGACTGGTTCATATCAATTTTTGTAAATGTAATTTAAAATCTTACCTCATCAAAATATTTTATGATGTATTTGAAGATTTCTGTCAAGGCCACTTCTTCATTAAATTCATTTTCATGTTTCTTAAAGAGAGAAAGGCTTGTTGAGAGATTCTCAGACAACTTTTTTTTAATAAAAAGAAGTAACTTTCCAACCATACCTTAGATTCCTGAGTTAAGAATTCTTCCATTTCTGAGGATGACAATGGAGGCAAGTCCCTGATTGCTTTGTAATAAGATTTTACTTCCTCTTTGTAGGTCGGGATATCCTTGGCATAGAGAAGTTTATTAGTTGGTGCTTCCTAAAAAATAAAAATAAAAGCAACAATCACCAAAAGAGTGAAAAACCCTGGGGAACGTGTAGCAGTAGTAATGCAGCTGCACCCCGCCTCTGTTGCTCCCTCCTGGCCACGTGTTGCCACGCAGCAGGCCTTCCCCAGTGTTCGCTGAGTGAGTGACTGCTATCCAGAGAGCTCTGGTGAGTCACTATTATTTTCAGGCAGATTAAATGCTAATATATTCTGCCTTCCTCTCGTAAAAGAACTAAAATTATTATTTGTGCATGATTTGAGTTACAGTAACAATGGAACTTATTTCAATCATACTTCCCTTCTAATGGCTGTAAAAAGCCTGAATTAAAACATTTGCTGTCATCTCACCCACCAGTGGATTTTGGCATTTATAAAAGATTTGATTGTAGGTCTGATTGAGCCCTTTATATAACCATGAAAGTGGTAAGTGATTGGCAGCGATGGACTTTTCTGCTTGTCCTGTTTAATAGAAAGATCTCCCAGTGTCTTCAGGGAAGCACATGGTCATTAGTACTTGGGGATCTGATAGCTGATTTTGCAAAAGTTCCCTGGCAGTTTGAATGTTTTTATGTAATTATAACGGATATTTTAAAAATAAGTGATTTTATTTTAAAAGTCATTCTTTTTCACACAAAAAATTCTACTCAGGGAAGATAGATGAGTTAATAATAGGGCCACTGCCCTAGTACCTTTGAAAATGTACTGATGGCTTGAATGGCCACAGCAGTGGCTTGAATAATTCTGAAGGATGGCTAGATTGAGATGTTTTTCACTTGTCAAGTTTAAGTAGAGCCCACAAATCATGCAATCATTCATTAAAATTTTAGTTAGGCAGGCACTGTGTAAAAAGGTGAGGAAGACTGGTACCTGGTCTTTAGAAGCTTACAATCTAGTTGGGAAGACAAACTTACACAGTGCTTACTATGATACCAGTAATCAGTAGCAGAGTGGAGAGTAAAGAAAAGGACCACAGGATCGGGCAAATCAGGGATCATAACTGTGTGATCTTAGGCAAGACTTGTCACCTCTCAGAACATCCAGTTTCCTCATCTGTAAAATGAGTACTATTATCTACCTTATGTGGTTCTTGTGAGGATTCAAGAACATATTAAGTAATCAATAAGCCAAGACAATTTTTACTTTGAATAAATAAGCATTTAAGTATCTTTCAGTGTGTTGTGTACTAAGAACTTTATGGGTCAAATGATGAAAGTGTGGGAGCTACATCAGGACCAAGTTTACAAAGATATATTCAGGCTGACCTGGGGGTCCTATGATTTCTAGTACATATTAAGAAATCAAGTGGAATGAATGAAATGCTGGTAAATGAATGAATAAGTAGGATTTTACTTGGGTTATGAGACAGGAAGAGATGAGCAAAGGGATGTAAAAACAAGTTCACAGTAAACTTGGGAAAAGTAAAAGCTGTAGCGTAGAAGTTGTATGGAATGTACGAGAATATGAGGAGGACAGGAAAGAGACTTGGAGCCCAATCAGAAGGGCCATGGAAGGTAATGGGAGGTATTTACAATGTTTTAAGCAGGAGACTGACAAGATTAGATTTGTGTTTTAGAAAAATAACCTGAGACACATGAAAAGGAAAAGTTGGGGAGATGAGGCAGGCAGCCAGCCAGGGCAAGGATACCAGTTAGGAGGTGATTATCCCAGTGGAGAGGAGATGAGGGACGGGGCAGAGAGTTGAGAAGAAAGGGACAGACATTTTAGAGACCGAAGTGGGTAGTAACCACCTGGGGAGAGAGGTTGGGAGAAGGAACCTCTTCCTTCCTTCCTGAGGGAGGGAGGGGTCGAAGATAATGCTGAGGATTCTACCTTGATAGGGAGACAAAAGTAAACACAGGTTTGTTTTGTAGATGCAGGGTGATGGCGAGTTTAGATTTAGACTAGGATCTGAAGCACCTGCGAAACATCGCTCACACCTCATTCCAGGCACTCAAACTCCTACCCGAGAGCCTTGCTCAGCTTCAGAAGATTTTCTCAAATCCACTAGGTACAGATATCGCTCAGTTTGGAGGGCTTGAGTAGGACCAAAACATCTCTTTCAAAGTTTGCTCTGTATTTTTTTAAATTTTATTGATTTCAAGGAGAGGGAGAGAGAGAAACATCAATGATGTGAGAGAGTCACTGATGAGATGCCTCCCCCAGGCCCCCCACTGGGGATCAAGCCCTCAACCTGGGCGTGGCCCTGATGGAATCGAACCATGATCTCCTGGATCACAGATCGAGGCTCAACGTCTGAACCATGCTGGCTGGGCTGCTCTGTAGTTTTATTTTTTTTTGCTTTCTTAGGGCTTTTGCTCAGCAAAGAAAACCATAGTAAAAACCATATTGATGTTTTTTAATTATAAACTGACAAATGTTAGAAATCTTGGGTAAGATTTTCAAGTAGACTCCTTTTAGGTATATTTAAATGGCATTAATTTGGGTCAATTTCAGTAGTCTCACACTTTGAATGTATAGTTTATTAGTATCTGCAGAATGTTCTATATTTTGCTGTAAAGAGCTGTGCAGTAGTGTTGGGATAATCAACTATTTTGTTTTCATTTAGACTAAAACAGAAATAAATGGGACAGATTTTAAAAAGCAAATTTTCAGTGACATCATTGACTATTTCTTTTTAGCTGGTGTGATTTAGACCAATTGTTTATTATTTGAATGTTTACAAGAAAGAGTGCTTCAGACTTATGGGAGTACATACAGGAACTACTAGAGCCGGGCCTTACCTTCCCGAGCTGCTGCTCCGTGAGAGAAAATGCGTCCATGAATGCCTGGGCGATCACTGACAAACAGCCGTCTATGTGCGGTGTCTTCTTAATGTCAAAGACGAACTGGGGGTTCTTCAGGATGTTTACCCAGAAGCGAAGCGGAAGGCTGTTCAGAGAGAGAGAGAGAGAGACAGAGAGAGAGATTTCTTTGCAAGCTCCCCCACTCGTACGACGCCGGTGCGTTATCAGTCTGTAAATGGGCGTGTTTGTCTCTGTTACTGAAGTTTGCACGTCTGCTCTGCCAAACACCAAGCAGCAGACAGCAGCCTCACTCAGCAGGGAGGGCTGGAGGAGAAGTCTGAAGGTGGAGTTGACCAGACAGACTCTCCAGACAGTCCTGGTTATATCAGATGATGACCGTCAAAGAGAACATCTCAGCAGACCCCCAGAGCTGACCTCTTCTCGCCCAAAGTGTTACACCCTGGCCTAAGCCACCATCTCCTCTCACCTGGATTATTACCTCCTGGCTCCTGACAGCTGCTTCTCCCAAAACTACCAGCCACCCTCACCGCAGAACCAGGTCATGTCTCCTCTGCTCAACACCTGGCGGGCTCCCCTCCTCCGATAAGACCCCGGCATGGTGGGGGGCTGGGCCCTGGCCGGCTGCCCTTCCCCTCGCTCATCCTAACCCGGTGCCCTCCTCGCTGCTGCTCCTGCGCGCCAGGCCAGCTCGCGCCTCAGGACCTTGGCTTTAGTCGGCCGGCTTCCGGGAACTCTCTCGTCCCAGATAGTCTCATGGTTCATGCTCTCACTTCTGTAAAGACCTGGCTCACGTGTCCTCATCGCTGTGGGGCTTCTGACTCCTGGCCTGAGCCTTGCCTCAGCTTAGGATAAAATGTTAAAACACAAAATAAAACACAACCCTTTGGCTAATTCTCATGGTATCTGAGTACTGCGTTTGATTAAATAAAAGCAGAAATTTTCTATACAGAATCGGAGTATAGACAGACAGCTTGGAAATTGCAAAATGATTCATTCTCTGAGGGATAAATAAGAGTTCTCTACTGGAAAACTATGATAAAACCACAAAATATTAATTTCTCATCTTTTGCAGGTCCAGCTAAACTTGTTTTAAAGAACAAAATCTTTTTCATGCATTGAAGACAATGGAGTTTGTTTATTTTATCCTAAAGAACAGGGTGCTCTGTATAAGATTGGTTTTGTTTATTGTTTAAAATAGTAACAGCAAGAAACTGCTTTGCCAACATAGCCTCTCAAGCCGAAGACTCTGCTCTTGGGATAAATGAATCCTCTAACTGTCCACACCCTCCTTCCAGTTAAGATTCTGTCCCAGGCTCTTGAACACAGTCAGTAATCACCTAAAGTTTGTTCTCACCTGTTTGTTTTCCAAATATGCACAACGTCAGGATCGGTGATTTTTTTGTTTTCAGCCTGGGCGTCCAAAAAGTCAAAGAAGTACTTGATAGCAAACGGGGCTCTGCTGTTGGGTAAACTCCAAATGCTTCTAAAAAGTTTTTCAAGCACAGAGTGGATTGCCACCTGGAGGACACAGAACATCGGCTTAGGAGATTAAAATAAATAGGGGAGTGGTTCTGAAAACATGGTGGAAAATGAAATCCAAGTTCATAGAAAATGATCTGCAAAACAGAGCCAAGCAAGCTGAAGAGTATGTACAACTGTCAAACGAGGCCAGCACTTGCAGCACGGGGCAGCGGTCCTGGAAACCAGGCAAGGGTTTAGATTTGGTTCAGAAGGCTCTTGCTGATAACAACACTGTTTAGTCGAGAGGAAATCTCTAGCAGTTGGGATGCCAGTTGTGGGGCTGTATTCATAAACCAAGAAACCACGGATGTTTAGCTTTTATAAGTTACCGTCAGCCTGGAAAAACTCAAGTGATGCTGCTCTGTCCCCAGAATATCCTGTTGCATATATTTCTGTCATGGGGTTTTATTGTGTACTTTCTGAAGCATTTGAGTGTTTTATAAAAACCAAATAGGCAGAGCTCTGTGGGGCAGATGAGAAAATCAAGAGGCTCTGGCTGTCCTCTGCCCACTAAACAAATCTAAGCTCCATGCAGATGCTGCTATAAGCTGAAGAGGCTGGCCCAGCAGGAGACGGGCCCAGGTCTGGACAATAGCATTTATGTTGCCAGTCATTTCAGAAAAAAGGGATCACCGCAGACTTCTGCTAATCCCACTAAAAGCCAGATAAAGTAAAATTTGCTCCCAATTTGGTATTCCACTGACTTTCACAAGTAACACTTATATGTGAACAGAATTCTTAATTTTAAAATGAAAAAGAAAAATCAGTAAGATTTACTCGGTTTATAGTCACTGACCTCCCCCCCCCCCATTTTATTTGCAATTCAAAGAGAGAGTTTTATTGCTCATCCATAATAACAAACAAAAAGGAGTAATTATGCTGTCAACCTAAAAAACAATAGTGAACTGGTGGCTAAAGGACTGGGAACAATATTAAATCCCTGATTGAAGATGTTACAGGAGAAATTTGTAAAGTGCTATTATCTTTGCAGTTTATAAATAAGCGGGGGGGGGTAGGAAGTGTTTATGATTTAAACTTTCATTTTGCTTTGCTAGAAGGCACAAGGGATTTGTAACATTTTCACACTTCAGTGGAAATTAAGTCAAACATATACACCCCCAGCGCTTCTGGGAAAGCGCTCCAGAGCAGTGCATGTACCTTGGTCGACAGCAGCTTTGTCAGATACATTTCTTTTACTTTGAACTTGTGTTTCCCTCGATGTCTCTTTCCTTGCACATCTTGGAATGCTTCCGAATCTGGTAAAATCTGAAGGGAGACAGAGCAGCAGTGTTACCCAAGGAAAGCGGTCCTGGTGCGGAAGGCATCCAATTCAGGGAGCGCAGAGGGCGGAACTCACCAAATGGCAGTGGTCGTCCGAGTATTCCACGTCTGAAAGCCGAGAAGAAGGAGAGAAAACAGCCCATTAAAAACAGAACCTCGGGCTGTCTGGTCTCATAAAATGCCCCATTTGCGCTAGGAAGAGGTTACTTGAGCGCTTCTACTTTAGCCCTTCACAGCGACATTCTCCCCTTGCTTTGTCTTAAGATCTTAAGAACAGTGCGAAGACTGGGCCAGGTACTGCAGTGGAAAGCAGGTTCCCTGTCCCTGGAAGTGTGAAAAGTGACTGAAAGATCACTTGCTGCTGATCATTACCAACTACATGCAAGGGCTACAAGGCATCCGGCAATGAATCAGACAGACCTAGTTCCCGGCCTAACGGAATTCACATCCTAGCCAAGGAGAGAATTTCATGTACTAATTACACAATTGTTTAACTGTAATTGTGATAAGGATTGTGAAGAATCACATGCCAGGAAAGTATCTAACAAGGAACTAACCTGGTCTGGGAGGTTTCCCTGAGGAAAGGATGCTAGAGCTAGCCAGGCAAGTGGGGAAAGGGGAACAGGTGCAGAGGTCGGAATGTGAGAAGGAACTTGACCCCTTCTGGGACCTGAAAGAAAGGCCATTAGGTGCAGTTCACAGAGCAAGTGGGAGGGTAGCAGGGAAAGAGGGCGGTCTTGTAAGAAATGTGGCTGTGCGGTAAATGGGGGGAAAAGAGGAACTGGTTTTTTGTTTTGAAGATGAGAGAGACTAGACACTTGAAATACTAGTAAAAAAAACTATGATAGCCAGAGGAGGAAAAGAAAGTGTAGGTGACAGATTATTGGTGGTGTGAAAATGCCTAGAAGGTCAAAAAGATGGTGGGATCCAAAGCACGGGGGGGACCTGGGCCTTGGCTGGGCCCTAGGACGTCAGGGGAAGCGAGGAGGAAGCGGCAGGTAGGGGGTAGGGGGTAGGTTTGGCACTGGATGTTGAAGGAGTTCGATTTCTGTTTTCTCTGTGAAGTAAAAGATAAGTCACCTGCTGACAAGAGAGCTGTGTGGGACCGGCTTTGAGGAGAAAGGGTGGAATGAGATGCCTAGAGAAACAGCGTGAGTAGGCATCGCTAAGGGCCCTGGGCAAGTTGAGCACCAGGAGTGCAGAGGGACTCCCGCTGCACTGTCACTGCTTTTCTCCTCTCGGCTGCCTGGCTGTAGGCTAAGGAAAGGCTAGTTGCTGGTACCATATAGGTAGTTAGACATGAGCAGAGCAAGTACAACAGGCCAGGTACAGAAACTCACCAGAGAAATAGTCTAGCAAGGGGCAAAACTAGAAAACAAGAACCTTGTCCGCAGGGTAACCTTTCCTCCCTAGCGTATTGCTTGTCATGAGGTTTGGAAACCCTGAATTTTCGTATCACAGGTCATGCTGTTTAGACCCCCTGGACCTTTACCTCCCTAGAGATAACACCTAGGCCTCCGCTGTATTTCAGCTCCAGGCCCAGAAAAGTAGCAAAACCAGACAAGTGATGCTATGGCTGCCTCAGGACCAGCTACATCAACTGCTGACCCCCTGCCCTGGCACCGACGAATCAGTGGAGACCACGACCCTGAAAAGCACACCTGTAAAGCTGATGAATATGCTACTGAGACCCTCCCCTGAGACCTCCCCTTAGATTTCCACCAGCAAGAAAGAGATAAATAAGCTCTGGATGAAGCACCCAGTGTGCACCATTCCCTTCCCCCTTTCTTTCCTCTAAGGGACCCCAGAAGACTTGCAACCAGGGTAGCAGTGGGCAACGGCAGCTCATCCCAAGTTTACCCCCTGAACCTGTCTCCAAAGCCCCCTTTTCTCTGACTTCTCGGTGATCCAAAGCAGCCCAGCCTAGGCTCTCCTGTTACTTCTGTGCTAAGCCCTTCCTTGTTTCACTGTCCTAAGTATATTTTTGCTACGGCCAATAAATTCTTACTTTGCTACACTTTGTCTTGTGACTGAAATCTTTCCTTCAAGAAGACAAGAACCGAGGTCTCATCATCTCCCTGGTAACAGCTGGGTTCATCCAGGGCTGGGTTTTTGACAGAGGTGATGAAAGGATAGAGGGGTAGGGGGTTTGGAGGGTCAGCAGGAGAGAGAGGAAAATAATGGCTCTCGACTGCCTGGAGGTCCAATGAAGAGATCCATACACAAGATCCCCAATAACAAGCTCTGCAACAGGCTCAGTGTTTGAAGCCTAAAACACAGTCCTTCCACTCTGTACAACACAAGACGCCGCTGCGCCTGTGCCAGGCGCTCCTCTCACCCAGCCCGATGGAATGATGGACAGTGTCCCACGGCCTACCAAACTGCCCTCTCACCGGGAGCCCAGCGTTCCCTGTCGGTACTGACCAGGTGGTAGGACCCGGCAGCCTCCTAAAACTCAATTCAGGAATCGGGAAGCCCCACCTCCGACTGTGAGAAAGAGGAGCCCTGTGGGTGAGGCCCAGAACCGGGCTGAGGGCTGGCTGTCTTGGCTGGGACTGGGCCCAGGGGTTTTCTTAAGGCTGTCACAGTGTTCTCTGCCCCCAGGCTACCAGGAAGGCAGAGTTAGCTGAGAGAGGCCTAGTGACTTTCTCATAAAAGCTCCCAGGTTATCTTGTTTGTTCAGCACTTGCAGGGCTGTGGGTTGTCTGCGAGCTTCCCCCACCGTGCAGGGCGCTCGCCCGTCAGCCCCGTGGTGCTGAGGGGCTGGCGAGGGGCTCGGAAGGCTCAGGGTCTGCCCGGGCCAGGCTGGCGAGAGGCAGCAGCTTCCTGCCCGGGCTGCGGCTCTCCCAGTTCCCTGCCCTGGCAGGGCTCGCGTTCTCAGGACTAGGAAGAGATGGAAATGGCTTTTCTCTGCTTCCAGAGAATTACATGGCAACTACTCAACCTCAATTTTGTGACAAGTCTGAGAGAAGCAAAAGGCGATACTTTATAAAGTGGGGTGAGAACAAAGGTTAACATTACGTTGGTTACCTGATGTAAAATTTGCTATCTTCTTAAAGACTTTTATAGTGGATCCATTTGAAATCTGAAAGCAAAGATAAAAAATATATGAGTTTTCAAAATTTAATGTATTTCTCACCTTTACCCAGGAATTAAATGGCTGGCTGGATTTTACAGTCTCTTATTAAATCAAATATTTATCAAGAATTCCTATGTCCTGGGCACTGTGCCAGAAGATGGAACTATAATGATGAGGAAGACGCTGTCCTCAAGGAGCTCACGGTCCTGTAAAGGAGACAGACAAGGCAATGAGATGCGGGGCGGCCAGCGCTAGAAGGTGGAACCCAGATGCTTCGGGACCGATGGGAGGTGGCTTCACGCCAGAAGAGGGAAGAGGGAAGACGAAGCTGTGCGAAGCTATACCTGGGGGCAAGAGACACTTGAGCTACTTTCACTTTTGAGGTTCCTACTTTATTTATAAATGCTGAAACAGGTTTTCAAAAACTAGCATATAAAGCTGGAGTTTACCCTGCAAAAGAGCAATTTCCCATCTAGGTGTTACACCCAACAGAAATCAGAACATATCCTGATAGTAAACTGCTTACAATTGCTGTATGCTGGAAACAAACCAAATACCATCAACAGAATGAATAAATAATTTGGGGTATGTTCATACAACAAAATGTTATAAAACAATGAAAATAAGCAAATTAGCCCTGGCCGGGTGGCTGAGTTGCTTAGAGCATCGTCCACATACGCCAAGGTTGTGTGGGTTTGATCCCTGGTCAGGGCACATACAAGAGGCAACCAGTGGATGCATAAATAAGTAGAACAACAAATTGATGTGTTTCTCAAGTCAATAAGTACATTTTTTAAAGTTAAAAAATATGTATATATATAAAATGAGCAAATTATTGCTACATGTCCCATGGATGAGCCTCACAGCGATGCTGAGCAAAAGCAGCCCAACACAAAGGAATGCATACTGTGCGCTTCCATTCTCGTAGGGCTCAAGCAAGTCAAAACTATGATGTGAGAGGTTTGAGGAAGAGGGGTGGTAACTAGGAGGGCCGGGGCTTCTGAGGGGCCCATCATGTCCCATTTCCTGACTAGAGTGGCAGTTACAGGAGGAGCTCACTTTGTGATAACTCATCAGCAGTACCCTTAGGATTTGTTCTCTTTTATGCAGCTGTATCCTGTTTTTAAAAGGAAGCTTGTAAAATCATAAAAATTGCGTACACATTAAAATAAAAAATTTTAATTTAACTATATCTTACAGGAAAGTACTTAACACTCACAAATATAAAGTGTACAGCTCAAGGAATGTTCACTGAAGTACACACCTGGGTAACCACCACTCACATCAAGATGTAAAATTCTATTTCCAGGTCCTAAGAAGCACCTCCATTATCCCTTTCCAGCCAATAACGGCCCCTTCCTTTTCTAACTTCCATCACTATTGATTAGATGTATGTGCTCTTGAACTTCATATAAATGGAGTCGTTCAGTGTATATTCTTGAGTCCAGCTTCTTAGGGTCAATATTATGGTCTGTGATGTTTATCCAAGTTGTTGCAGCTACTAGCAGTTTGTCTGTTTATAATTACTGTGTATTATTACTCCGCTATATGAATATACTACAAAAAAAATGCCATACAGCCTGGGCCAGCATGGCTCAGTGGTTGAGCATTGATGTATGAACCAGGAGGTCCGGGTTCAATTCCCGGTCAGGGCACATGGCCTGGTTGCTGGCTCCATCCCCAGTGAAGGGTGTGCAGGAGGCAGCCGATCAGTGACTCTCTCTCACCATTGATGTTTCTATCTCTCCCTCTCCCTTCCTCTCTCTGAAATCAGTAAAAACACATTTTTTAAAAAAAAGGAAAAACAATTGTCATGCAAGAAAAGGAGTACTGACACATGCCACAATATGAATGAACCTCAAAAACATAAGTGCAAGGAGCCAGTCACAGAAGACCACGATGGTGTGATCCCATTTATACAAAATGTCTAGAATAGGCAAATTTCTACAGACAGAAAATAGATTACTAATTGCCTAAGGCAGGGGTCAGAGGAATGAGGAGTGACTGCTAATGAGTTCAAGGTTTCTTTTTGGGGTGATGACAATGTTCTAAAACTAGATTATGGCAACGATGACTCAACTATGTAAATCTATCAAAAGCCATTGAACTGTATGCTTTAAAAAGGTGACCTTTATGGTATATAAATTATATCTCATTAGAGCTGTTAAAAAATTGCCACAGATTTAAAAGGTATATGTTTGACACATGAATGCTTTTACTCCATTGACACGCTATTGCAATGCCTGTGTGTAGCCTCTTTTGGAGGTGAGAGTTCTCACCCGAGGCTTTTTTGGGACTGGGAACCCAGAGGCAGAGGCCCCCCTCCCCCACCCCTCAAGGGAACTGGATGCTCAGATGCAGAGGCGGCCTCCATCCTTGGGAGAAGCAAACTGCTCAGAGGGGCTGCTCCACAAAAAGAGGAGGCAGATCAGGGTTACAGAAATCCTTACCTTCCTTTTGGGACTGTGGAGGGAGAATTAACCCTGACATTTCTGAATATCATAGTAGCTAAGTGCTTTCCCCTCCACCCTAAAGCTCCAAGTCTGTTTTGAATTCTAATACTCATTTGGACCTGCCCCCCCCCCCC